TGGAACATTTAGCCCATTTACATTTAAGGTTAATATTGTTATGTGTGAATTTGATCCTGTCATTATGATGTTAGCTGGTTATTTTGCTCATTAGTTCATGCAGTTTCTTCCTAGCATCAATGGTCTTTACAATTTAGCATGTTTTTGCAGTGGCTGGTACCAATTGTTCCTTTCCAGTTTAGTGCTTCCTTCAGGAGCTCTTGTAGGGCAGGCCTGGTGGTGACAAAATCTCCCAGCATTTGCTTGTCTGCAAAGGATTTTATTTCTCTTTCACTTATGAATCTTAGTTTTGCTGGATATGAAACTCTGGGTTGTAAATTCTTTTCTTTAAGAATGTTGAATATTGCCCCCACTCTTTTCTGGCTTGTAGAGTTTCTGCTGAGAGATTCGCTGTTAGTCTGTTGGGCTTCCCTTTGTGGGTAACCCAACCTTTCTCTCTGGCTGCCCTTAACATTTTTTCCTTCATTTCAACTTTGGTGAATCTGACAGTTATGTGGGTTGGAGTTGCTCTTCTTGCGGAGTATCTTTGTGGTGTTCTCTGTATTTCCTGAATTGGAATGTTGGCCTCCCTGCTAGATTGGGGAAGTTCTCCTGGATAATATCCTGCAGAGTGTTTTCCAACTTGGTTCCATTCTCCCTGTCACTTTCAGGTACACCAATCAGACACAGAGTTGGTCTTTTCACATAGTCCCATATCTCTTGGAGGCTTTCTTTGTTTCTTTTTACTCTTTTTTCTCCAAACTTCTCTTCTCGCTTCATTTCATTCATTTGATCTTCAATCACTGATACCCTTTCTTCCAGATGATCGAATCGGTTACTGAAGCTTGTGCATTTGTCACGTAGTTCTCGTGCCATGGTTTTCAGCTCCATCAGGTCATTTAAGGACTTCTCTACAATGGTTATTCTAGCGAGCCATTCGTGTAATCTTTTTTCAAGGTTTTTAGCTTCTTTGCAATGGGTTCGAACTTCCTTCTTTAGCTCGGAGATGTTTGATCATCTCAAGCCTTCTTCTCTCAACTCATCAAAGTCATTCTCCATCCAGCTTTTTTCCATTGCTTGCAAGGAACTGCATTCCTTTGGAGGGGGAGAGGCGCTCCTGTTTTTAGAATTTTCAGCTTTTCTGCTCTGCTTTTTTCCCCATGTTTGTGGTTTTATCTACCTTTGGTCTTTGATGTTGGTGACCTAGAGATGGGGTTTTGGTGTGGATGTCCTTTCTGTTTTTTATTTTTCCTTCTAACAGTCAGGACCCTCAGCTGCAGGTCTGTTGGAGTTTGCTGGAGGTCCACTCCAGACCCTGTTTGGCTGGGTATCAGCAGCAGAGGCTGCAGAACAGCGAATATTGCTGAAGAGTAAATTTGCCCCCTGATCATTCCTCTGGAAGCTTCATCTCAGAGAGGTACCTGGCCGTGTGAGGTGTGAGTCTGCCCCTACTGGGGGGTGCCTCCCAGTTAGGCTACTCATCGGTCAGGGACCCACTTGAGGAGGCAGTCTGTCCGTTCTCACATCTCAAACTCTGTGCTGGGAGAACCACTACTCTCTTCAAAGCTGTCAGACAGGGACATTTCGAGAATGTCATTTCCTTTTCACTTGCATTGTCAAGCTGCAAATTTCCCACACTTTTATTTTCTGTTTCCCTTTTGTAACTGAATGCCTTTAACAGCACCCAAGTCCCCTCTTGAATGTTTTGGTGCTTAGAAATTTCTTCTGTCAAATACTCTACATCATTTCTTCAAGTTCAACGTTCCACAAATCTCTCGGGCAGGGGCAAAATGCTGTCAGTCTCTTTGCTAAAACGTGAGAGTCAGCTTTGCTCCAGTTCCCAACAAGTTCCTCATCTCTATCTGAGACCACCTCAGGCTGAACCTTATCATTTATATCACTCTCAGCATTTTTGTCAAAGCCTTTCAATAAGTCTCTTGGAAGTTCGGATCTTTCCCACATGTTCCTGTCTTCTTCCGAGCCCTGCAAACTGTTCCAACCTCTGCCTGTTACCCAGTTCCAAAGTCACTTCCACATTTTCAGGTATCTTTTCAGCAACATCCCGTTCTACTGGTACCAACTTACTGTGAGCAAGTCACATCTTACATGGATAGCGGCAGACAAAGAGAGAGCTTACGCAGAGACTCCTGTTTGTTAAAACCATAAGATCATGTGAGGCCCATTCACTACCACGAGAATGGCATGGGAAAGACCACCTGCCCCCCACCCTGTCCCCCATGATTCAATCGTTTCCCAGCAGTCTCTCTCACAACACATGGGAATTATGGGAGCTACAAGATGATATTTGGGTAGGGATACAGAGCGAAACCATATAACACACACTGTTAGAAAACCACAACCACTTCCACTTTCTAATCTCTAATAGCCATCTCCTCTCTTCAGAGAGACCACCATGCTGTACTTGGGTTTCCTTCCTATAATGGCGGTTTTGAATGCCTTCACACAGGAAGCAGGGGAGATTGCAGGGCTCATCATATGTATTTACCTTCTCCCAGAGGTCACAATTCTACACTGCCTTTTGTTCAATGTTTGCAAACAGTAGTTTTTTACATTTTGCCCAGTTTTATAGTTCTTTATGTTGGGAGAGAAAGTCTTGTTCTATTTGTCCATCATGGCTGCAGATTAAATTCTCTTCCTAGGTGCGTTTCTAAAAGTCTAGCCATATTTTTTCTATATACCAGCTATATCCTTATCAGTAGTCTGCTGCATAAAACACTCAGACATTCATACTATAATGGCAAGTGACTTTTTTTTTCATGGAGTCTTTCTTTGTTGCACAGCTGGAGTGCAGTGGCACAATCTCAGCTCACTGCAGCATCCACCTCGTGGTTTCAAACAATTCTCCTGTCTCAGCCTCTTGAGTAGCTGGGACTACAGGCACATGCAACCATGCCCAGCCAATGTTTGTATTTTTAGTAGAGATGGAGTTTCACCATATTGGTCAGGCTGGTCTAAAACTCCTGACCTTAGGTAATCCACCCGCCTCGGCCTCCCAGAGTGCTTGGATTACAGGTGTGAGCCACTGCACCCAGCCTCAAGTGACTTTTGATAGATAATGAGGAGATGGGGTAAGAGAGTTACACTTACATGCTAGCCAGAAATTATATTTTAAATGATGATAAGCAAGGCTATCACTGGTGAGAAAAATGATTACATTGACTAACCTTTAAAGAAAAGAGTAACTTTTGCACAGTGATAAACTGTAAGAGTTGATCTATACACATATATAAAAAGAACAAGTATATATTTCAAAGAAGAGGCCAGTTGATGAAAATAAATTGCCTGGTAAATGGAAGAGTGGGGATTAAAAAGAATGAGGCAACCAGGCTTCTAGCCAAGGTACTGACAACTAAGAATGATTCTCAACTCAACACAAAAGGATACTTGGCCCAATATGTATGGAAGAAAATGGGGTATAGAAATCTGTGATGAATGGAAAAAGACCAAGCAATCACAAAAACCAAAGGCACCACTGAGGACCACTGAGCTGCCTAAACTGTGTTAGTAACATTCCTAGGGTGTCTATGGAGAGGAAACAGAAATCAGTGCTGTGAGGTTAAGGAAATATATTCATGTCTATTCTCTTCTTTTAGCTCTGGAGCATACAACAAAACATCTTACAGAGTCACAGAGGAGAGAAGTTCACTCTTCTCACCACATTGATGTTTTCGCACAGGCCAAGAGCACCATGATGCCAAGGCTGTTTAGTAAAAGGTATTTAGAAAGCAGTAACAGAGTGTGAATGCAGAGCTGCCTGATTTGTAAAAAACAAGACATGTAGTGTTACTAACCAGAAATATCATCTCTGTATCACCTCAACTGTGTCCATCCAGCTCTCCGAACATGCTATGGTAGAATATTGTGCTAGAAACTAGGGAAATAAAAGCAACTCAGCTTATTCTATCGCTTGAGTAACTTACAATTTGGAAGAATAACCTGAGATTTAAAAAAAATTCAACATTTTTGTCAGTAATTATTTGTAATTTATCTTAGTGAGATGATACAAAATCACATACAATAAGGTAATTAGCAAAATTTGCAAAAAAAGTTAAATTTTAGTAGGATTAATGTAGAATAAAAGTTTAATATAATATGATATCCTTTTGAAATTTGTAACTTAGTAATATTAATATAAAACATTGGGTTTAGTAAAGTCCACAAGGGTCATCAGGGATGATTTTTCTTTTCTATGGTATTCTATTTTTATTTCCTGTAGTATTTCAAGGTTCCAATAATTTAAAAAAACCTTAAATTTCATATACAGTTGTACTATTTTATGCAGCTTAGCATTTTCTAATAAGAGCCATAGAGCTTCAGTTTCCAGATTCATGATCTTGAGAGAAGATAGAGATGAGACCATTGTGTTAACAAAGGAAAGACTAAGTCAATGTGACTAACAGTTTTTCTTCTGCCAACTGAGATTACAGGTCTGGGAGACTGAATTACACCCACTTTATTTCAAAAATACGTCACAATTCTGTGAACATGAGTTGAGGATTTTTTCTTCTGTCTTTATTATGGAGAAGAGTATAAGACAATAAATGAGGCCTCATATATTTGGTAATTCACTGATATGAAAAAACGAAAAATGATAGTTGAATGTGCAAGCTGACCTTATCTAAAATTTGATAATTTGCTTTAAAATGTCTCTGAGGCATATGGAGAGTTTCTGGTACCTATAAATATGGGCATTTCATGGAACAATTCAGAATTATCATTTTCCTTAAATGTTTTTAGACTTCCCTGAAAGTCTAAAAATGTGGAAATAAAAGATTCCTTGGAAATGTTAAAATAGCATGAAATTACTTTTCTCCCTAAATTATCAAATCCATAATTAGACTCAATAGCCCTAAAGGGTCTTGAGTAATAAAGGTTCCCAGAAACCTACCTCTTGTACACACTTTTTTGCACTCTTCCAGACTTTCAAATCGATTCTGATTTCCTCCACAACCCCCATATATAAATTCTTCACACTGTCGTGTGAAAATATTGAAGAAAAATCTCTTCATGATTGCTTTACATGGGCCATCATCTGGCTTGAATGCACAAAATGAATGCATAAGTTTCAGTGGTGGCAACTCAGTATCTATAAGGTAAAAATAAAAGATATAATATATAATCTCCATCAACACTATAATAATATTCTTTATTTCCTTTTTAATATATCCTGATTTTAAGGAAAAGTGCAATAAAACATGCTGATAAGAAAGTTACCAAAATTGTAGATAAAGTTAATAAATTCACCAAATGAGACACAACTTCTAGACTCTTGTTAGAGAGGTATTGCTTAAATCATACCAACCGAACTGGGAGGGAATTGAGTAGTTGTTGTAAGGCAACTTCATTCAAGTGGATGTGCCCCCAATAGACCTTTTCTTTTAACTCAGCTAGTGGACAGTTCTTTGAATTTCTCTCCTTAACCTACACTTGTGTCACTTTTTACACATAAAACAACTCTTTAAAAGCAACAGCATATTCACATTCATATATATATAGATACACACACACACACACACATATGTATATAACACTATATTAAACCATTCCCTAATTATGAAAATGTATGTGTTTGATGTTATGAAAAATATACTTCATGGTGCTTTTTTTTTAACTTACCATACCATCCTTGGGTTTTAATAATGCTGAAATAATGTAAATAATGCTATGTTTTAAATAGAATGAGGCAATTCTTTTGACTTCAAATTATATATTTTTTCTTTAAATACTTAGCTACTAATTTTCATAACAGAATTTTCTATCCTGGAAATGGGCATACAAATAGAGGAAACTCAACTAGATTTTTTAAACATTTTACTTTTTTCAAGTCCAATAAAATTAATAGGAGCCTAATATTAAATAAGTTCTATTTGTTTACCAGTAAAGATAGACACTGAAAATTGTGGGTGGTGCAACCAAAAGAATAATGACAAAAATGCCATATAATACTTCTTGAATATTTTCTGCCTATTGAATCTATGTATTTTCTATGTCTTTGGCAATTGATTATTAATCTCTTATGGGGAATATTGAAACCAATAAATGACCTAAACCAATTTTTCCTCTAGGGGGCAGCAATATTATATTAAATTAAACAGACGAGTATAAATATCTTGAAAAAAAGTGTTTTCATGCATTCTAAAATAGTTTACTTTGAACAACAACAAAAAAATGAATGGATGAGACTTTAATATTTTCACATAAAATATTTTTAAGGCATAAAATACAGGATAAGTTTTTAGAGTATGATTGTCTCAAAAGAAATCTGTTTTAAATTTCCTGTAATTTCAAAATGTGAATTTTTTGAAAGAGAAAATATGCATATAATGAAAGTTAAATTAGATAATTTTATTACTCGCATTCCACCCATAATATATTATTATTCTAATCATCAGTTTTGAATTCATAGCAAGTATTAGTTTTATTTTAGTAATGATAAAACTCTTTGTAACAAAATGATTGAAATGATATTGTTAATTTTTTATATGAGTCATAAAATTGTAGGTAGTATTTACAGTCTTGGAAGGGTTACAAATACAGTTTTCTATACGTAAGTTGGCATTTTCATGCTGTTTGATTCACGTGACACTAATTATTTTTGAACATGTAAATTTTATCTCAACTACTAACACTGCTTTCAATTTTTAAAAATTCTAGCTAAATTTACATACTATCATCTCATTACTTTGATCTATTTGGTAAGTTAATTGATTATTTTTTTTCAATTGAAATAAATTGAGCTGACAGAACTGATAGAAGAGTATGTTTTTCAGGTCCAGAATTTGTTAAGTTAGAATAATATATGACAGATAACTATTATGAAAGAGGGATAGTTTCAGCACCAAACACAGTCATAAAATAGCTAATTAGCAAGTAAAAATGTTGATCAAACCTTTAACTAAAGTTGAGTTTTATGCACATATGTATTTGTGTGTCTTCAAATTTCTCTGGAGTTATTTTCAATTGACGAAATGTAATGTTTGTGTTTACCGACATGATTTTGAAAATAATTTTAAACTAATAACAGTGTCACTAAATCCAATAAATATCTATAGTCTATATATAAATAATTTTATCAAAGTGGGTTAAGAAATATTGGTGAACATTGACAAGTTTAAATGTCATTTCTTTTTTTTTCAAATCCTTTATCTAACGTTTTATGTTGATGAATTTATCTAAAATATGACAATTTGCTTTAGAAGGTCTCTCAGGCATATAGAAAGTTTCTGGTACCTATAAATATGAGTACTTCATGGTAAAATTCTCCATTTTTCTTATATTAGATACACAAGTACTTTTTAAATAGAAATTCATAACATAAATATAATTGAGGATTGTTAAAAATACTTCCTAAAAATAGAAAAATGTGTCAACCAAACTGACTTGTTAAAACATATTTTCTCTATCACTGAAGTTATAATTGTCAGTTTAAATTTTAAAATCATTGAATGTTTTTTTCTGAGTGGTACATTTATGAATAATTGTAAATACAGTTTATATTTTTTTATCTTTACTTAAGGATTTTAGAATGCCGAGCTGACCTTTTGAGTTGTTATGAGAAACCGGAAAAGTTGGTGTGAAGACCCTAAGTGGTGCATCTGACTTACAGCAGGCCCACAACAAGTATCATCGAATTTCGTATCGTGAGTTTCTGAACTCTACACATGTTTGTTTTGAAACCAGTAAAAATGTGACCGATTGGTTCTTCAAATATTGGACCCCAGAATTCACATAATTTTAATTAACAAAGCAGGAATACAAATATTCTGGCATTTTTAATTTTAAAGCTGTATACCATTATCTTGAATTGCTGTAGAAATTCTCATATAATGTGATGTTATCCAGTCCCAAGTTAACATTACTTTAGAACTTTGTTATTGAGGCAGTGTTTCAGATAGAAAACTTGAATAAAAATCTGTATCTGCAAAACACAGGGAACTTTACCTAATACCTGAGTTGCCATGTACATTCAGAAGTCATTTTTTATAAATCAATAATTTTTATCAGATACTATTTGGTGATTTCTCTACTTTTTATTCTTAATATATTTGATAGGGTTTATCATCAAGCTAAATCTTTTTTCCATTTTCTGCATTAAAAATACAGTCACCCTAAGTTCAATCTGCTATTTAGTAATTTCGCCAGCAGGTGGTGGCAGTGCACCACAAAGGCAAAAGCTGATAAACTAGCCGTAGTAGTACCTAGCAATAATAGCTAATGTTGCTCACTGAGTAATCACAATACTCTTGACGTTTTTGTAATTGTACCCTTGAATGATCATAACCACCTACTGAGTTAGGTATTATTATATTCATTTTATAAATTATAAAATATCATGGCAGAAATTAAGTAAATGACTGAAATTCACACCATAAATGATGGGTTTAAAACTGATCCTCATATGGTTTTACAACAGCTATCTCACACATTCTTAATAACTGCACGATATTGTCACAGATATGTGACTGAGATTCCTAAACTAGCATTTGGATCAAGCATACAGTTTTAATTATATAATTTCCACTCAATTAACAACCTTTATTTTCAAACATTCACCTTTATGAAACTAAAAATGGTTTCAATAATAGAAGTAGGTGATAATTTTATAGAAATTTTCTAGGAGTAACACTAAATATTAACTTTTATGAATTATATTTTGTTAATTACTAGGTGATTATTTGTCTTGATTCACACTTTAATGTATTTCTTATAGAAATCCTGGTTAGAATATTCTTTGTGCAGTGATCTTGCAGCCCACACCTAAGCACAGTATCCCTGGATTCAAGCAATGGCCAGGTGTGCTGTGTGACCCACAGTGCCATGCCACTCCACCCGAAAGGGATGGAAATCTGCCTTGATCTTCATGTCTTATTTTGAAAAAAACCCTTTTGAATGTGAATAATTGTGTATTGGCCATGTGTCAGGCATTGTACTGTCACTACAGATATGACAGTAAATTAGATGACAGCAGCCCCTCGTTCATGGAGCACATAGACACTAAGGACTTACGCAAATATTCAGAAAGTCCTGGGTGTTGTGCGAGTGAACAGTAGGATACCTAAATTAGCCTGAAGGGGTCAGCGATAACTTTCCTGAGACTTGAAATTGAGACTTGAGGGAAATGTTCACAGAGGTAATCATTAACTTCCAGCAGTCATGAGAAAGCAAAACACATACAGGGCAATGTAAAAGGAATTTAATCTGATCCAGCCATATAAATAGAATTATGGTTTACATGAAATCATTCGCATTCGATGTCATGAATTTTATGTCTCGTAGTCTAAAGGTTACAATCCTGCCTTCCCCTCGCCGCCCCCTGCCCCATGTCCTGGGATGTTGGATAGAGGACTTACTATAGTATTTGCTGCCTGAAAAGATGTCATGCCCTTGACTGTAAGAATACTCATCCTCTTGGAACTTGTTTGCGAATCTAGGGCTTTCAGGTAACTTACCATCTAAGAATCTACATGCTGCTTGCCTCTAATTAAAGAATTTGACTTTTTTTTTTTTTTTCCTGGCAGGCAAGAACAAACATGTACACTTTACCTTCTCCGTGTCAGAAAATGTGCCAGACGCTTTTTTACTTTTTACATAAAAACTATAGGAAATCAGTTATTTAAATTATTCATTTACAGCTTAGGACACTGGGAGTCAGAAAGTTTAAATAACTTATTCAGTCTCACAAAGGTACTAGGTGGCAAACTGCACCTGCAAACTCAGGTCTGTCTGATTCTAAATCCTACAAAAGATACTTGCTTTTCACTAAATGTTCACTCTTAATTTTCTCTCTCCTAGCCCAATGGAATTGTTTTAAAAAGCTTATCACCACTTTTTGTTATCATTTTTGTCTTATCTAGAAGTTAATTATAGATTATCCTCCCTGTTGATTGGACTGATAAAAAATCACCTACTATTTACTTGTGAGAGAAGCAATAAAATTTGATGCATTTTTCTATTAATGATGAGTACCTTATTTCAATTAAATAATATACTTCTATAAAATGATGTTATGACCTTAGCATCATGGGATAAATTGTATCTCCAAAATAGAATTTTTTAGATGTGAGATTGGGTTATTTTAAAAATTTATTTTAAACAAAAACAAAACAAAACTAGATAAAACTGCAACTAGCTGGTGAAGAGGTCTTTAAGTCTAGCTTAAATATCAAAATTATTTGTTATCCACCTAGGTTTGGAAGCTACCTTATAGTAATTTTAAATTCTGGCTTAATTACTGATGACTTAATTCTGGATTATTGACTGACTATGGCAGCAGCCGCAACAATTTCAGGAACTTCCTGGTTATCCAATATTCATTTTCTCAGTCTAATTGAGGAGAATTGGACTGGGACAATACAGGGAACACTTGGATCGATTTGCTTCTCACTTCCCACAAGTGAGGTTGCCTGTTTTTTTCCCTGTTAGGACTTATTTTATCCTCCACCTTCCTTGTTTCTGTAACCTCCGGAATGTTCGAATTTTAACCCACCAACTTTTGAGGAAAAAGCTGAATGAGGAATTGAAACTCATAATGTCCAAATTCCTATTTTCAAAAAGGCACATGAGGGTTTTTACTAAGTAATATTTCATCTCTAGGAATTTTATTTTTTTTAATTTTTTTAATTTTTTATTTTTTTTTTGAGACAGAGTCTTGCTCTGTCGCCCAGACTGGAGTGCAGTGGCAGGATCTCAGCTCACTGCAAGCTTCGCCTCCTCCGGGTTCACGCCATTCTCCTGCCTCAGCCTCCCCAGCAGCTGGGACCACAGGTGCCCGCCACCACGCCTGGCTAATTTTTTTGTATTTTCAGTAGAGACGAGGTTTCACCGTGTTCTCCAGGATGGTCTCTTATCTCCTGACCTCGTGATCCGCCCACCTCGGCCTCGTAAAGTACCGGGGTTACAGGCGTGAGCCATCGCGCCCGGCCTCTAGGAAATTTTTATAACGTGAATTCCCTTTGCAGAGCCCTCAGAAAACCAAGCTTGAATGAATCTCCTTCCTTTTCCCATCAACAGCAGCACTCTCCATGCTTCTGTCACTTTGTTTACTACATTATACAGAAATAAACTGTCCACCGTTCAGACTCCCCTAGGAAGCAGCGAGATTCTTGAGCACCTCATCTCAGCTATACCTGTTTCTCTAGCACCTTCCTCAGTTTCAGGCCCAGAAGATGTATTTATTCACACTTTATTAAAGTACACTGAACACGGTCATTTTAAAGAGCTATTAGAGGTATCAAATAAGAATACATTTATGGAAATCTTTTTTACATCTTAAATCGCTATACAAAAATAAGCTATCATTTTGTTTAATATTCTCTCATTAATACCAATGCTTGAGATTTCTGTCAACAGTTACTAATTTGCCACAAAATGTTACTTTAATAAAGGTATATATCCACAGTAACCATCACCATACAGGCTTCTCCATGCTCTATTTTTTATTTGTAATATTCTCATTTTTAGACACAGAATTTTATGGGATTAGATCTAACTTACATTACTAGATCCTTTGGTGTCCTGGTTGACTAGATTTTTATATTAGTCTTGACTGAGAAGTTTTTATTTTGGAAATATGGGGAAGAAAGAGAATAGCTGAAAACTCAGATGTCTGAAGTTCCCTTTCCTCCTCACACTTTTCCTAGCCAAAGGTTAGCATCAAATGTCATAGGGAGTTGTTTTTACAACATTTTGCTCCTTGCAATAGCCCAGAGCTACTCCAGTGTTTAATATTGTGTGCTGAAAAAAAGAGAGAAGTCTTTCAGCTAAAGTTACTTGGTTTTGGACTGTTTAACACACACACACACACACACACACACACGCATATGCACTCGGTATAATAAATTTCCAAAGAAAAATATCACTTCAATAAAAACTAATTTCCCTCTACAATGGAAAAATATGGTAGATTTTTTAGATTAAAATTGAGAGCTTTAACTAGCTTAAAAAGATAAATGCTTCTAATATTTTACCTGTGATAATTGTGTATTCTTCATCTTCCTCAGAATCAGCATTAAGAGGAGCAGGGGCAAGATTAAGCAGCAGGCATATGGAAACCCAAAGTGCATGTACTTTCTTCATTGTGTAAATCATCTCTGAAATGCAGAACCCATACATATCAAATAAATAAAGTGTTCATATGGACTCATTTACAGACCAGTAAACATCGTATTCGTACTTCATATGCCTATGACATTTTATGTGTATACACATACATTTCTCTGTGCATACTCAATGAGTCATACTTAAAATATATATGTAGTATTCAGAATTATCGGCAAACACATTCAGTGCATATATTTATTAATATTAAAGCAAGCAGGTCATATTTCAACTTTGAAAATATAAATAAAAAGGACAGTAATTGAGAGACATGGGTAAATGCTGATCAATACGGCGAAGTATATATTAAAGTCCATTTCCATGTGCAATCTTACTTTCCACATCTTTCACACAGCTATTCTTTCTCAGTCGGAACCAATAATTATTTAGGCATTTTTCTATTACTTCTTTAATGCAACTTTTAATTCCTGGCTTATCTTTACCTCTGCTCTAGTTCTTCTTTTAAAAAGGAAACACATTTTCAGAATTTTCATCTTTGTTTCCTTTAAAAATTACATTATTTACATCAATTTCCTAACCAGGTTTTCTATGAGACAGCAGACAGCCAAAACAGCAGACAAAAGAAGTGTCTGACATTCGAGTTAGTCCTTTTTCCCAGTTCATTATTCCCCAGTTTAGGGCGTTATCTGATTCAAAAGAGTTTCACAGAAAAGTGATTCTAAGTGATAAGCCATCACTTTACACTCTAAGGGAAACAGATTTCAATAGGAGAGTGAGACTTTATCTGTTTCAACATTGTTTAAAGATCTATAGCCAAAAAAGCAAAAAAGAAAGACAGACAGAGAGAAAGAAAGAAAGAAAGAAAGAAAGAAAGAAAGAAAGAAAGAAAGAAAGAAAGAAAGAAAGAAAGAAAGAAAGAAAGAAAAGAAGGAAGGAAAGAAAGAAAGAGAGAGGAAGGAA